GAGAGAAACTCATGTCACCATGAAAAGGTTGCAATACGTCACTCTCCACTCCATAAATAAAGCTGAGGATACAACACGCCACTGTGGGGCCTCAGTAATAATGAAAGTAGATGAGAACGCGGCGTTTAATCCAACCCAAAGGATTCATCTGATGCTCATGCTGTGCACCTTCAGCTGTATAACCACTGCATAAGGATGCGTCTTCTTGTAGCTAAATGCAAATGAAAAGTCCAGAAACAGCACGTGCACATTTAAGATTGAAATCTCTTTTTCAGGACAGACCTGACCAAGAGGCACAGCAGAAATTACAAACACAACACATAATATGATAGTAAGCATCACTTGGTCCAGATGACCGTACATATAAAACAGCATCCACTGCACTCGTCTCTCTTTTATATGCAACGAGCCAAAGCTGCTGCTGTCAGTCCTTCTACAAGCACACCCTGTTCCCTGCAGGTTATATCTGCACTGTGCACGTGCTCTCTAACAACATTATGGTTTGATTAAAGGCCCCAAAGAGCCACAATGATGAATGTCAGAGAATCGAACAAATAGCTAATGGATACGGTAAGAAATACGACAAGTACTCTTACCGACATCTTTACTACGATAACCAGCAGCTGCACCTGACTCTGTTCACTCGATTCTTTAAGTACTATCCTCCTGACAGTGTGCCTGCTACCAGGACCAGGACTTTGGTCCCCATAAGGGCTGCACCTCGTCCCCATCTTACCTCGGCTGTTGGTTGCCAGGTCGGCCACCTTCTGAAAGGCATCCAGGAAGGCTGCTACAGCGACAACCGTCGTCCTGGAAGACACAAAACAGGAAGTAGAAACACAGAAAAAGTCGTTTCTATTCATTACTTCTTTCTTGCTGGCTTTTTAATTTTTTATTGGAAAAAAATTATGTTAAACTCATTTGATTTGTTCTTTGTGTTTTTAATATCATGTCATCACTCAGCTGATCTGTAGCAACAAAGCTCTCCGTCCTTCTAAATTCAAATCAGGCGCAGCACTTTGAACTCAAGTAATCAGTCTTAAAATGCGACATATGCTCTGACTCATCATCAGGGAGAGAAACTATTTCAAATGTGCAAATTCATAATTCTGCACCTTTGAAACACTGAGACAATCCCCCCACAGAATAGATGCAGGGTGAGGAAGAGGACGAAGGATCGAGTCATTAGCAATCAGCTTTGACCTCTGATGACCTCTGTGCCAGGACAGAATCT